GGCGGGATGAAGAGCAGGCCTGTCTGCAGCTCCACACTACAAGACAGGCTTTGAGGTTTCAAAAGTGAAGGCCGTTCCTAGTTAGTGCTTGCCCTCACACTCTCTCTTGTGGTCTCCTCCCATCCCCCCTGCCTCATGGTTATTGTCTCAAAATGTGAGCTCTAAGCTATGATTGCCTGCTTGCTCTTATTCTCCCTACCATGATGGTCATGGACTTTTACCCTCTGAACTGTAAGTCCCAATAAATGCTTATAATTAAGCAATAGAAAAGTAACTAAGACAGTTATCTAAATTACTTTGTGGACTGTTTCCTTCTACAAGCTTGTGAGGTTTCAGTATCCCTGAGAACGAGAGGATATTTGGAAGCTTGTGAAACTCTCTGCTGAAGATTCTATAACTGTTCACAAGTGATTTGATTACTGGTTCACACAATTAGCTAGATAATTCAATCAGCCAGCATGCGTGGGAATGTTAATTTTCAGTGTTTAGGGAATTCAGAAAAGCTTCATCAAAATCACCTTGTAGTCTAGTTACAGGCCCTCTTCATGCCACATCTCATCCAGAACACAACGTATCAGAGTCTTGAAATGGGCCCCAGAAATAGTCACATTTTAAAAAATTAACATAATATTTTATTAATGCTTTGGGATTTTCATTCATTCATATAATACATTCTGATCATATTCACCCCAGCCTCATTTCCCTACTCTTCCCAGACCCTCCTCTCCAAAATTCCTCTCCTCTTTTCTTACTTTATAGAACATGGATTTCAATCTGTGCCACCCAAATATTCACAGGTGTGGGACCATACACTAAAGCATGGTCAATCTGCTTGGGACCACACTCTTCAAGAAAACTGATTCTCCCTTTCCCAAAGCCACCAGTGTCAAAGAATCTTCATGTCAGCAGGCTCCCTTGTTAGGGAGGTGGATCTAATGCATAAAAGGCTGCATTCAATTTCCAGAACCACAGTGCAAAAATCCCTAGATTGCTCTTATTGAAAATGAAGTTCAGAAAATTTGAATTTGAGATATAAAGTACCATGGTCACCTTTCTAATAATATGACCTTGCACCTTCAAAATCTCCTGGTGATATTCAAAATGTAGGTTCTTTCCTTTGGGAGTGATTTAGCAAATGTGTTCATTCTAAAAATTAAATACTAATACTTTTCAGTGCTTTGCAGGCAACATTGTGGATTCAACTTAACTGTGGGTAAGAAAAAATAAAAATAAAATAATAATAACAACAACAACATACAGGGAGATTACGGTTGTTGACAGGCTGACTCAAGAATGCTTCCAGCATGGTTGGAAAAAGGAGTTTCTCTGTCCATATTGCTGAGTTGAGCCTTCCCTGTTAATATGGCCTCATAATAGAATGCCTTACAAAGTTAGTATCATGTACAAGATATGATTATACTACCGTAATCTCTGCACAGGGGAAGCTGCTCAGCCATCCCAATCCAGTCACTGTTCGCTTACAGTGAAAACAATGGTCAATTTTTGTGACTCCTTTCTTTCTCTCTACATAATGTTTGTTTTGACCAAATCTGCTGAATGTGTTTTTGCCTGTTGAACCTAATTTAAACATCAAATGATTATATTATATTTTTTGCTTCAGTTTTCCTAGAATTCAGTTTTATTCTTCAACCTAAAAGCTATGCCATACTTCATCAAAGACGGTTTGCAAAGTGATGGTATATGTCATTCTCCTTTAAACAAACTCAGACATAGCACAGCTCTTGGGGAGTGATCTCTCACCTACAACACAGTACAAGTGGAATTGGACCAACCAGCAGAGTCTTCAGCTCTGTGATTCTCTAGGGTTCTTGTAGCATCTAGTTTTTCTACAGGTGTATAATTCACTTTGGTGAATAATCCAAAATATATAGATGTACAGCTGGCTTCCTTTCCTACTGTGAAACAGTGCAGGTTGGTAGGATAAAGGGTATTTCAATAATAGCTTAATCAAGATATAATTAAGAAGAAAAATTGGGTACCAAAAGTATTCCATAACACACATCAAAGATATTTCCTTATCACTCGCTGTTTGCCTCCACAGTGCAAGTGTGATTCCTTTACAGCATAACCTACTTCTGACACCTGCCGACCTCTCTCTCCTTCCAGTTCTCACCAGACATACTACTCGTTTCATTCATGTTTTTACAGATGATCACATCACATCTTAGCAGATGCTACACAGCATGTTTTAAAAATTGTAACCCGACTGGAACTTTATCCAAGTTTTCCCATGCTATTTATGGATTGATTCTATCTGAAGATTTGCTTTTTTTATTTTATGTGTATGTGTGAGTTTTTGTATGTATGTATTTATGTCTGCATGTATGTATATGTGTATTATGTATGTGCATCACATTCATGCAGTGCCCTCAGAGGTCAGAGGACGGCATCAAACCCCCTAGAACTGTAGTTAAAGAATGCTGTAAGCTGTCATGAAGGTGCTAGAAATGGAATCTGGGTCCTCCCCAAGAGCAGTCAGCTCTCTCAGACACCGAGCTATCTCTCCCAGAAATTGTTTTAAGGGGTGGACATTTAGAGAAAGGTTCATGCTTTTCTAGTATGTAAAAGATACTGAATTCACTCCCCAGAACCCCAGGAAAGAATGAGCAAAGGAAAGGAACAAGCAAACAAGCCTACTCTTTTCTCTCTAGCATGTAGACAATTCCAATTTAAAGAGGTAGCAGCCACAGAAACTCCAGTTTATGGAAACTTAATGCCCTGAGCTAACTCTCAAAGGCTGAATGTTTACACATAATGTTGAACAAGGAATTTCTCACGTCAAGCTTAGAGCAAGTAGCGAATCACATTACGCATTACTGGGGTGTCTTCAGAATGTGCTGACTCATTGGAAGTTTCCAAATGGCTTCTATATATACCGCTAAAGACCATCTGGCTGGCTGTGAATCAACAAGTTTCAACATATGGGCCATAGCACATACACAGCTCTGCTCCGCCAGTGCAGAAAATTGAGAAAAGGTCACTCTCCCTTTGATATGAGTAAGTCATGAAAAGCGAGCAGCACTGGGCAGCGGAGGCCTGCCGTGAGATTCACACAGAACACTGAAGGGCAGTTCCTTCCCTGCTCCTCACCAGGCAGGCCACAACATTGAAAATCTCTTCATTTCTTCTTGTAAAACTATTTAAAAGTGCCAAATCGACTCTAGTCCTCTTCTCTTTCTTTCCCACTTCCTCCTGCCCTCCTTTCTTCTCTCCTTCCTTCCCATTAAGAACTACGTATTTCATACCTACTGCATACATGCTCCCACCACGTTGCACAATAAAAGGGTTGTCTTAGTCAGTGTTCTATCACTGTGAAAAGACACCATGATCACAGCAACTCTTATAAAGGAAAATATTTGATTGGGACTGGCTTACAGTTCAGAGATTTAGTCCATTATCGTCATTAACAGGAAGCATTGCAGCACACAGGCAGACATGGTGCTGGAAAGGAGTTGAGAGTTTCACAGCCAGATCAGCAGGCTTCAGGGAGAGAGACACTGGGCATCTTTTGAGCAAATGAGACCTCAAGGCCCATCCCCCAGTGACACTATTGCTCCAACAAGGCCACACCTTCCCCAACAAGGCCACACTTCCTAATGGTATCACTCCCTATGAGCTTGTGGGGGCCCTTTTCATTTGAACCAACACACTGATGATAAAAACGAAGCTGAAGACACATGACAAGTGAATAATGGAAAATGGGAAGAACACCCTGGGCAGAGGGGGAGAGAAAGCATAAGTTCTGAGACATAAAATAGGCTGTTTAAAATAAATCAAGGCTTGCAAACATTTGTATCCATTCCACTGAGAACTTACTTGATAGTCAAAATGCTGAAAGAAAGAGTTCTTCCATCTGCAGGTGGGAATTCAAGCAATTATTATATTTACAAAAGCTATTTTAAAAAGATGATACAAATTTTTAACTCAGATAGATGCAGTCATGCCCACAGTCTCATAAAACTATATAAAAATATGACTATCAAATACATACATGGGTATCTCATGGACAAGACACTATGTAAGTGCTTGGAGACTTATGATTGATCCAGCTTCCCTACAAGCCCAGAAAAACCCTGAGTGCCATACTTGTTATTTACTGCATAAAGCTAAACAAAGAGGAAACGGTGACTCTATCTCTTACAAGAACTTCCCTTCTCAAACATGGCTTCCCAATGCTCAATGGCTTCCTAGTGCTCAGCCTTGCCACTTCCCTTCCCAAGAATGGCTTCCCAGTGCTCAGCCTTGCCACTTCCCTTCCCAAGCATGGCTTCCCAATGCTCAGCCTTGCCACTTCCCTTCCCAAGCATGGCTTCCCAATGCTCAGCCTTGCCACTTCCCTTCCCAAGCATGGCTTCCCAATGCTCAGCCTTGCCAGAAGACGACAACTGATCCCCGAAAGTCAGAAAGGAGATTAGTCATCACTCATTCGTACTCAAACAGTCATGTACTCTATGGAAAATGTTTACCTCAATGATTTCTCCCAGCTCTTAGTTAAAACAAAACTGTACCATTGGCAGAGATAAGTTACGTCATGCAGGAAAGATTAATTATTGGACATTTTCTCCCTGAAAATTAGGTTGCTACCTTTTCCTTCCATTTGCCTGCCATGCATCTAAAGTGCAGTGCACACATGGGATCCAGCCCCTGCAGCTACAGTGAGGCAGAGTGTGACACTCGGGCATATCAGGCAGGATGCGAAGCTGATTTGAATAGTGAAGGTCATAATAAAAAATAAAATAAAATAAACAAATACGAAGTCTAAATTAATCCCAGTAACTAGCCATAATGTCCTACCTTGTGCTGTAAGAAAAAAACCCGTCCCTTTCGGCAACCTGCTACCGTGTTCTGTTCTGCAATGATGACCTAACACACAGCGGCTGGGATCCTGATGACAAATTCCTCAAAAGTAAGGGCTACACTACTCCTATCTTTGCCCTCTCAGCACTGCCAATCCTGACCACAGCAAGAGCCCAGGGTTTATCAAATGAAGAAACAAACACCCTTTGATTTAAAATTTTAGAGACACTAGGTGGATAAATCCCTACATTGGAAGGCAATTTCTACAAAACTGTCAATTATTCATTAGGTCTTGTTGCTGTTGTTATTTTTAGACAGCGTCTTCAGATCTAAACTCAGACTGTCTTCAGACCAGAGATCCTCCTGCTTCTGCTTTCTGGGTGTTAAGATGACAGGCATGCACCACTGTTCCCAGCAACCTGGTAGGGTTTTAGCAGACACAGCACAGAGGATGCTCCTACCATCCTTTGTAGAGTAACATGCACGACACCAGACCTTTTATCAAAACAATTACTTAGGTTGCTTTATTACAGCTACAAATAACCTTTATTTGATGTAATGTAATAAAACATTTTCAAATTTAACAACATGTATCTGACATAATTGGTATTTAAATTATGAATATAAGTATATACGGTCACTCTAGCAAATCTGCATCTCGGGAATTTGTACACACTTTGGAAGGACAGTGCCTAGCTCCCCTTCACGAGAAGGGGCCCTTCCCTGTGTCTCATAGTAAGCAATGTCAGTGACGACTAGAAGAAGTCCATAACCCTTGTTGGAACTCGTTTTATCCGGTGAGAGGGCAGCTTCCTTCATTGTAGGAAAATAACATCTCTTTCAGTTCTCTTTTATCAAATAAAAGTTTGCATTCATTTCCCCTGTGTGGTCATGGGTCCTCTTCTGATCTATGCCCTTCCATCTCCTTCACCCACATAGTACCATTTAAAGGACGCTATCCACAAAAGAACCCTTTCTGTCTCCTTACCTGTCCTTAATGCTGACCATTATTATTGGGGAGAAGGCTTAGAGGACAGAATTCATCAGGCACACATTTGATTTAAGATACAGAGAACGAACACAGAGACACATTCTCTACATGAAACAGGATGGCGTTCTGGAGTATTCACAACAGGGGTCCACGTGACCTCCAATCCCCACAGCCTAGCTGGATGAACAAGTTTATGCAGTCTCCAGAAGCACCGCAACCATTCATGGATATGCTATCGCCACACTCCTTCCTCATGACACACAGTTATAGAGCAGCCCTGTGGGCTCCTTGCACCCTCGTAGAAGATGAGAGAAAACGACATGCCGAGAATCATGTTAATATACAATGCAGTCAGGTGGCACTCACTCTTCTCCAGTGACCGTCCTCTCAGAGCCTTCAGGAGTGCGAGGGCAGGGAAAAGCTTTATTCGGGTTTTCTGCCTCTCTCCGTCCTGAGATCTGTTCCTGAGTTACACCACAATGATAGGGGGTTTAACAGCAGACGTACACTTGTGGGAAGTCACAAGGACCTTGCAGAAAAGCCAAAGTATTTGACAAAAGCTTTGGACAGACACTGCCCTGGGGAATCATTTGTATTTGCTGATGACAGATTTCTGTTTTCTAACATGGACATGCAACACATTCAACACTACACTCACTGCAGTTTGCTTAGAAAGACCCCTTCCGGCCGACCACGGAGTGTATGTACTCTGTCTCATGGATGATGCCTGAAGAGCTACCATGAAGCCTAGCCTGGAAGCATGAGAGTTGTGCGTTAGGATTTCCCCCCACTCACATGGATGTGGACTTGTGGAAAGCACCAGAAACTGCTTCCCTCCCAGAACCCAGCTCTGTTAGTGTGCTTACTGCTGAGATGGCTGTCTGACATTGACAGCTATTTTCATTTAAACACAATATCACTGATCCACAGGGAAAAAAAGGGAGAGGTCGCCATCATCCCCCAAAATACACTTTGTACAACAGATCACCCCCGGGTTACATTCCAGCCATGCCAAGAAGACAGAAGCCACGTTCCATTTTGAAGTCTCAGCCAATGATTTCGTAGTTTCCACCTGCTTTGCACTATTCGCCTCCAGTGTTCCACTCTGGATCATGTATCATGACCTTTTTTTCTACAGTGGTCAGAGTTTTGTCTATAAAAGAGAGAAAGACAAGAAAATTAGCCAGACCATAAGTTTGGGTTTTCACTTTGTGGTGGGTGGATTATTTCTTTTTTATGGCAGTCAGTGATTTCAATCTTTGGTGACTTATAAGGTTTCACGAGCATCTCTAATGGAGAAGAAAATGTAATATGGCTCTTTTCATAAATGTCAAAGGTTCTGTAAGTTACCAAGCCCGTAGCAATATACTTGAGAATGAGACCCAAATGATCCACGTAGAAATCTTTTATCATACAGATGTATCCAAAATTGGCTTTGCTCTCAAAAGTACTTAAAATCTTTACAAAATAGTATAACCTTTTCCTTACTTGAAAATAATGACTGTTAAAAGAATAATGACAGTCTGAAAAATAGGGGGGGGGGCAATATCAAGGTTGGAAAGATTAAAGCAAGAATGAGGTGCAGGGGGAGAGAGGAAGGGAAATAGAAAGGCTAAACCAAAACTAAAGATGGATTAAAAGCCATACAGAAAATCTAGTTTATAAGCTAATCAAAATGAATTTTTTTTAAAAAAAAGGGGAGTCTGAAGAAAGATATCCTTCATGGGTGTAGATTGCTGCTCCAAGAAGGTGTAAGTTATTAAATGAACACCCTAGTTCCAGGGTAGGTTACATTCCTGTGAAGTTTTTTGTGGGAAGCTTGGGAAGCACCAAAGAAATACAGACTACTGCCATTTCCACAGCTGTTTTACCAGGCTAGGTGATAAGAGCATGCTGAAAACACCACACACTTTGGTTGAAATCAAACAGGAACTGACCTGAAAAATTCCTCTCTGATGGCTAACTTTCATACTGCCAGAAGATACCACACAGTCTGCTGGCAAAGAAAAGTCATCAGCAGTCTTATCCAGTTATGAATCCTTCATTCTGCAGTAGCTACCTGGCAAACAAGATGTGCCAATGGGTGATATAGTGGCATGGTGGTTATGGGAATAACCAATGACCTTCTGTTTAGACTTGCTCTACAGGATGTAATTCATTCCTATAAACCTGATCAAAGACTCATGGCTTGGGAGATCATAGTATCGAGCTACTACTACTACTATCATTATTATTACTAATTTAAAAGATTTCAAACTGCCTTTTAAATACTTATGTTTATGTCCATAGATTAATGCTACTCTCAGTCTGGGTCAAAAAAGTTTCTGTTGTCAGTTAATGCAGAGACTCAATCAGTTAAAGTACTGGGAATAACTGAACACTGAATGTTCAGCCTTAAGTGGCACACCTACATCACTCTTGCCAAGTTCAGGGAACAGGAAAGAAGAGGAGAAAGAGGGAATATCAAAGCAGGAAGATGAAATAAGGAAAGGGTGATGGAACACATCCTCTGGACATGGCATGACTACTGGATTCATAAACTCACAGACACGGTAGTCAGCTGCACAAGTCTGGGTCCATTAATGTCCCATCAGGAGTGAGGAGGGACTCATGAGGTTTCGTGGTTGTTGGGGGAGGACTTTGTAGAGTCACTGGAAAGTTACCCTTTCTAAAGAAGATAACCCTTCACCAATGTTCAATAACTAATTAAATACAGTGGGTCTCTCATACAAAACAAACATGAAAGTGGGTGGGTGGAGGACTTAAAAGAATAATGTATTTGGCCAAAGAGTGGTAAGAAAGAATAAGGGAATAAAGGGAATAAAGACTATATGATAAAAATAATCTCTCTCTCTCTCTCTCTCTCTCTCTCTCTCTCTCATACACACTCACACATGCACAAACACATGAAACCACTGAGAATCACATGGCCTAGTAACTCACCTACACAAAATCTAGAATCCTGTTTCCCTTCAGGTCTGTCTTCTAGACTCACAGAAGTGTAAGCCTTGAACCATAGTAAAATTTAAGCCAACAGCTAAGAAAATATCCATTTACCTGGTATAGAACTACATCCTCACAATGCCATATTTTCACAGGCCTTGGCTTACCACACAAGCACTAAGTTTAGGAGCTGGTTTAGGAAGTCGCAAGCCCAGGACCAGGTTTCCAGGTTAGACTCCCTGCCTCACTCACACTGTCCCTATATCTGAATCCATTTACCTGAAGTTCCCTTCTCAGCCCAGTCCTTAACAACTGAATTTTCCAGCTGATAGAATACTCTTCTCCATAAGACACAATCTCTGGCTTCAACCCTCAACCTCACACAATAGTGCCTGAGAATAACTGCTGTATTTCAACCAAGTCCCAGTTCCACAGACTAGAGTGAAGACAGGAAGTAAGTTGTCTCCTCAACTAAGGAACTCCGGAGACAATTCTAGCCTGGGACCGTTGGCTCTTCCCACCAAGAGGAAGGAAGACACCTAACATCCTCTAACACAGCTTTGCTCACACCGGTTCCTAAACTCTACGAATTCCTGAAGGCTTCAGTCAGCACCATCTCCAGAGCCCACCTTTTCTTACCACCCACCTACTAGACACAGTGACGATTTAAGGGTTCCAGGTCCCAGACTACTTAGATAGTATTAGCCTCTCTCCTCGTGTCAATACCATCTTCCTAGAACAGTCTCCCAGGCAGAGACCTCACATCTACATCAGCTTTATAGCACACACTCCTACTATTGGTAGGCTCTCAATCCAGCATGCCCACTATAGCCTAGTATCACTCCTGTCAATAACCTACCTGACTCCCTGGACTAACTCCAACCTATTCAACTTCCTGGTATCACTGAAGACATGTTCCAGGTCCACTGGCCACCTCTGTCAACAGCTGTCACTGGACTGGACTGTCCTTAAGCACCGAGAAACCCCTACCCTAAGCCCCCCACATCTCTTCTTATTAAATCCTACTACCTCGATATCACGTCTTTAATGATTTTACCATGTAAATTATTTCCCTAAGGACACCCCCAAGCCTTATTTTTATTGTGTACTTTTCTGTACTGTTTGATTATACATTGTGTTACCTGTATTTTTTAAAAAACTAAAGAAAAACAAAAACACAAGAAGGTGGTAGAAGAGGACAGGGCAAGGGCTGAGGCTCAGTGGGAGTTTGTAGCGTGTGTGAGGTTCCTGACTTTGATCTTCAGCATTACATAAAACACCGCATAGACCAATGCCCTCCCTACTTTAAGATACTTAAACTCTGGGGAACTGCATTGCATGGAGCGAAGAACCTGTTGTCATTACTAGTTGATTATTTAATAAAGGCAAAGCACTGAACTTGAACTTCAGGCAATTAATGATGAAGAAGAGATCACTGTGAAGGACATATCAGTAAAGAAAATGTTACTGAGAGATACATGTCCAGGGAATAGCAAACTCTTCTTTTTGCTTCTATCACCGAGGTAGGGGCCCATCACAGACATCCAGGATTGCAAGGGGCCTCGATGTTTCTTCCCAGTTTCCCCTGGGATGAACTTTACTTCCTTTCTTCTAAACTACCCCTTTCCACAAAGAAAGCGTGCAATCAGGTCGAATTCCAAAGCTGCAGTCTAAAGCTTGGAGCAAAAAATTGACAGAATTCATGGCAGAAACCCAAGGTTATTCTGCGATGAGTCACTGCTAAGCACCACTGCAGCTGACGGGGATTCTAAGAGGTTCTTTGAAGAGAAAGACAATGCAGTCGCCAAGGAGAAGAGGGGAGACGGTAAGGAAGAGCTGCTTCAAAACAATTCCATTATCCTCTTCTATAGCAAAGTATTTGAGAAACTGCTCTTCAGAACTGCTCATAAACGATTCCAAACAACAAGTCCTTGTGACACAATACTTAAAAGCAATCTGTGGCAGTTCAAGTCCGTGAGGAAGATCGCTCGACTAAAGAGAAAGACAGGATCCTTGCTCATGTCCCATTGTTACAATTTGTCATTGCCTTTATTTACACACTTGTGGAATAGTAAAAAGATTCAAATTGATAGTAGTGAATCAAAATTACCAGTGCAACAGTATTCAGGACTTTTTTTCCCTGCATTCACTCCGTTACCCCAAGGAAAGTCCTCGAGTGCCTGCTGGGCTCCTGGGGCTCTGGTTATGCTGATTAAGAAAATGAGGAAATGGGTGAATATTTGGAAGTGACAACACACAGTCTAGACTGTTCACAGAGAGAAAGGAGACTGAGGTGTAGCGGAAAAAACAATGGAGTCAAGAAGGCCAAGCAAAAAGTAAAATAACACAGACCCAATCCCAAACAATCAGAGAGGAAGAAAAAGGCAGAAGAAGTAATAGGGAGTTTCCCAGAATCCTTAGGGTAGCCTCCAGATGTGTGAGGGAAGTGGAAAAGTAGGAGGAGTCTAAGATTTCTCCTTTGTTCTGTTTGAGCTGTGGAGTACATGTCTTTGGTCACTCTTCTAGAGACCACAGTGACTAACTGCACTATCATTTAGACTCGTAGAGTATAACCCCAAATGTCACCCACCCTTATAATTTCAAAAAACAAGTTAGCAAAACATGAGACTTAAAAGCAACGTATGTCAAGTCCAGTTAGTGTTTGCTCGAACATAGCTCTGCAGTGTGGACCACACAGGCTCTAACTCTGACTGAAAATGATGATCAAGTATCACTAACCTCAACAGCACAAAACCCACAGGAGTGAGAACTCCCAGAGATGAAGACTGTTGTGCAATCCTCTATGTACCCCTGTCGTGCCTGGTGCTTTAGATCATGCACATAAAGCCATCTGGTGTTTCTAGTAATATCCATGAAAGGACTCTACAGCCAGCCTCCATCTTCGGAGTCTTCCATACACTGTCACGAAACCAGTGCCCTTACTTTGATGGCTCCATCCACTAGCTACAGAAGACATGGATGATTTACCATCATCTACACCAGAGTTTCCAAACCTTTCCTTACAGGTTAAGTCTTTTCTGCGGGAGGCTCTTGTGTGCATCATAGGACAGCTGGCAGCCTCTCTGACCTACACCTAGTAGATGGCATTTAACATCCACGCACACTCCAGTAATGACAATCAATAGTATCTTCAGACATTGCCAACCATCCCCAGGAGAAGAGGCAACAATTCCTCTGAATTGAGAAACTGTGGCCTACACTTAAAGTCCAAATTCTTGGGGCTGCATGGATCATTTGTATCACTATCTATTCATTTCTACTCCGATCTCCAGCTGTTTCCTCACTCTAGAAAGTAGTCTAGATCAGCTCTGGCTGGTCCGCCCTCTGCATTAGCTCCTACCTTGATGGCCCTACACGAATGTCACTTTTACCTGGAACGCTTCTCGGTTCGCTGTTAATGATAAATGCTTTAGCCTCAAAGATGAACCTTTCAGGAAGTCTCCTCTGATAGCGTTCGTGGAAGGACAAGCTAAGTCATTTTCTTCTCCGTTGATTGACACGGCTTTCTGTCTGTGACTTTCATCATAACGAAACAAAGCTGAGTGTCCCTGTGCTGTGCTGGATTCAGGCCATTATAGCAAAATATCATAAAGTTTATGAGACTGCTCTTCATTTCTAGAGACTAGAAAGTCCGTAATTGACAAGGCAGTAAATTTGGTATCTGTGAGGCTCTCTGTCTCCTTCATAAGCCAGTTCCCTCTGTTCCCTTTTACAAGGGCCCACCTGACCCAGTCACTTCATAGGGTCCCCACCTTTGGATACTGCTATATTAGAATCTATATTTCAACATATAAATTTAGGGGGAACACAAAAGTATGTTTCTCTGTTTCTATATGATCACCAAAGCATAAGCTTCTGGATTTCAAATACAGAGAAATATATGAACAACAGCAAAAGTGGTGCCACACTTTATGTACCCTCTATAGTGCGCACCAGTCATACAAAAAGAAACTGAAAGCGAGTATTCTAACAGTGGTGCCAACGACAAAACCTCCTGGCACAGCGTTCAAAAACGGCTGTCGTATGACCTCTACACAATAGTTCTCACAGTAAATGCATCCTAAAGCTGACAGATATTTTTAAGCCAATCATCTTAACCGATTTGCATTATTTATAAATTCAAACTGAGAGAGATGTAATTAGGCACAGTAATTCTCTCTTAAATCAAGGGACAACAGACTATTGCCGGTGAGCCAAATCCAGCTGGCCATCTCGTCTCTAAACTAACTTTTGTTGGTACCCGCGTCCTCTTGTTTACTGAAGTGGGTGACAGTGGCAAAGATGAGTAGTTTCAACAGAACCATATGGTTTTCAAAAACTTAAAATATTAGTTCTATGGGCCCTCACCATATAAGTCCGCTGACCCTTGCCTGGGACTAACAGGAAACCACACCCAAGCCTCCGCACTAGCTAAGGACAGATGGGCGAGCATATTTGTGTTATATTTGAACTGATTTATTTTTACAAAGGGTACAGTAGCATGAAACTAAAAGCACTTCTGAACACAGGCTTCCTGGGCTGAAATCCAGCTCTATCAATCTAATCTGAAGGACTGTGGGGAAATGACTTGACCTCGCCAAGCCCTTGTTTTATCATATCCAAAGTGAAAATGGAGAAAAGTAGCCCGTCATAAAGTTTTGAAGTTTCAGTGGTATTATTCCCACAGAGTTCTCAGCGTAGTGGCTGAGGATGAATCCTCAATCACTGTGAGCTATTATTTCAAACAGGGAAACACGTTTGGGTCACGTTTTTAAAATTGCTATTCTTATACCTGAATTATCAGTGAATGTATTAGATAAACCAATCCGTGAAATTATCCTTGAGCCGTCAGAGGCCTGAAAATAGAGAGACGATTAGGACATCAAGTCCCCTCTCCTAGTTCGCACACTGGCTGCTGAAGGGCGCCTCCTGCCACCTGCCTCATGCTGTCTGTCTCCCACACCATTTCCAAAGACTCTCCTCAACACATTCCAAATTGTGTTTCTCCTAAAAAATAAAACCAACACACGCTCCTCCTTCTGGCCTAACAATCCCAGTGCCAGGCAAAATAACCTTACTACTTGTACCAAGAAATAGCTCTTTCCAGGGGAGACAGAAGCACACCACCAAAATGAGTTACTCGTCCACTCCCTCACTTTCCCCTGATAACAAATGCAAGGCTATTTGATCAAGAAATCTATAGCTGTCATCAGCTCACCTTAACACCACCCGGTCCAAGCTCTAGAACTCTTATCAATGGCCTGGGTTTATTTCCTGTATTTGAGAAGTGGCCAGGATTCTGTCCAGATGGGACCCTCCAACCGTATAGCATGTCTAACAAACACAGTTCACTTAGAGTAAGCACAGCAGCCTAGCTGCCTTCCTAGCAAGTGGGTGTCCACTGCTCCTAGCTCCAGCATTCAGTAGCTCTTCGCTGCCTCCGACTAAATTTATCTGACAAGTGGAATTACGTGACGATTAAGGGCACAGGCACTGGGATGATTCATTCCACATCTCTCTGATCACAAGTCAATTATCCTATATCAATTACCCTGAGCCACAAGTTAATCCCCTGAGAACAGTAGCATGGTAGCTACTGCCAATGGCATTCTACCGCTGTCAATCACTGGCATAGATTACATAAACAGAAATAGAAAGCATAGCTTCTTCCCTGAGAATTTCCAAGTCTGGGGGGCAAATGCTCATTTCGTGGGATCATCTAGATTGGAAAAGTCCTTGGAGGTTGCTTATAATGAGTGTTCTAGAACCTGACATCACAGGCTAAATTTTTAAGTCCTGCCTTCTGTGTTGTGAATGATTTCATATGCACAGCAGTGTGCACACACTAGAAGTAGAAATGAATGCTGTGATGTTAGCCCCAGCTTAAGAAGCAGAACAGTTATACTCTAACAACTTCCCATTCTAAGACAAATGCACTCTAGTATTTAGAAGACTTGCAGTCCTAGGGCGGAGGTTATGTGGGATCTAACCTTAGCTGACACCTAATTGTGAGACATGTCACTTGCCCAGGCAAACTAACAGGGAAGGTCCCTCTGAACTAAAGCCCTCAAACCTCTCTGCTCTGTTCTTTCCTATTCCCATTCCTCATAACACAGGAATATATTCTCCACCAGAACCTTTTGTGATCTCATCCCAAGTTCCTTTTCTCTCTCAATGGTCAAATCTCCTCTATATAACTTTCTTTAATATGAAAAAGTCTTCATTTTACCTGCTAACCACACTACCATCTTGCCTCTCACCTCTGTAACAATGCCAAATTTGTTAATATGTGAGTTATTTGTGAAACTCTCAAGTCCTTACTAGCATCAGCTCTTTGTAGCACGTTTTCAGATCTCAACTCCCATTGGTCCCTAGAATATCAGAAACATCTCTCAGACAGTGCCAAAAACTTGACAACTCCAGCAGGAATCAGTTCCTGGATACCAAGACAGGACGCATTGCTTGACAGCTTAGTGGCTAGGGCCTTGTACCAGCATGCCATCTCCTATATGGATGAAGTTCCATACCAGAAAAATAAAAACAATAGATAAAGTAAAAAATAAAAAGTCATTTCTTTCTCAAAAAGGGCACTTCTCTGGAAACTATGAGATCACCAAGAAAGGTTCGTCACATGGAAGTACAAAAGCAATGAAAATGGTAAGGTCATAGGAATTCAGATAAAGATGCTGTTTATGATGAAAGAAATGGAGAATATCACCTTCCATGCCACCGGTCATATGAACTGAAATTCATCAGAAAACCAGTTTCTTCTTCCCTTTCAAATACCTAAATATCCTGGGTTTTGTTGTTTTGTTTTGTTTTCTGTTTGTTTTTTTTATTGATTTTTATTGAGCTCTACATTTTTCTCTGCTCCCCTCCCTGCCTCTCCCCTCCCCGCTTAAACCCTCCCCCAAGGTTCCCATGTTCCCAATTTAGTCAGGAGATCTTATCTTTTTCTACTTTCTACTTCCCATGTAGATTAGACCTATGTAAGTCTCTCTTAGTGTCCTCATTGTTGTCTAGGTTCTCTGGGATTGTGGTTTGTAGGCTGGCTTTCTTTGCTTTATGTTTAGAAACCACCTATGAGTGAGTTTTTAACCTCAATACGAGTGAGTGGAAGTATTCTGAACTCACACCTGACGTCTGGGAGAACATACGTTAGCCACTGATTCAGGGAGCTCTCCCCAACATTAAAGAAGCTGCATGAAAGGGGGTGAGGCATAAAAGGGTGACAATGATAAGTAACCTTACAGCATAAACTCGACTCTCTCGGGCCTCTCAGCAAGTTTCAGGGCCTCGTGCATGCCTGCCGCAGAGAGCTTCCGATTGATATTCCGGTATTGGCACTGGAGCAGGCTGCGGTAGGTGGTCCTCAGGTCCCGGTTGAAGAAGGCATATATAAAAGGGTTAATGAGAGAGTTTGCATAGCCCAGCCACAGACATGTCCTCTCCACCCACAGCGGAATGCAGCTGCAGGAGGTGCCACAGATAAAGGGCCTTGCTGTGGACAAGAGGAAAAACGGCAGCCAGCACACTGTGAAGGCTCCCACGATGATCCCCAAGGTGGTGGCTGCTTTCTGTTCCCTCTTGAAGATGGAGATGTTTTTCCTTTCGTGTTTGAGCAGTCTCGAAAGATTTGCACACTCTTCCACCTCCTTCTGGAGCTTCACCACACCATTCAAGGAGATGATGCTCTCCGGTTGCACGCGCGGGAAGCCTGGGAACTTGTGTTTGGCCGCGCTCTTCCTGGCGGCCTTGTAAATCTGATAGTACATGAACAGCATGACCGACATGGGGATATAAAACGCCACGGCGGTGGAGTAGATGGTGTAGCCAAAGTCCTGGCTAATCAAGCACACTTTGTCATCGTTCACATTCTGAGCCCATCCGAAGAGCGGTGGTAAGGTGATGGAGGCCGAGAGAAGCCAGACCGACAGAATCATTTTGGCCATGCACCTCCCATTCTGCCTCACAGGGTATGTGAGGGGTCTCGTGATCCCAAGGTACCTAGCGGAGAGATGGAAAGATAAGAACTGAATACAGTCATCACTGGACACCCACGAAATGCTACCCGCCAGGCTCTGGCAGCAATTCTCACAACAGTAGGACCATTGCTTCCATTTTGCAGGAAGGTAAACTGGGGCTCTCGTGTTTTACCTCTCTACTCCAGGTCATGCCCTTTGGTCAAGTTAACCATGTTTTACTTACACCTTGTAGATTCTGGCAACCAAGGCAGCCAAGGAGGTAAAGGTGAACGGCCTGCATCCTCTCATGACCACCACCATTCAAAACAGGGTTAAGACATCACTCCTTGTGGGCAAACATCTTCACAGCTTAGTGAAGGTCTGTCACGCTGATGTTATATGTCCCCCTCATCTGCACGGTCTTAGTTCTGGCCAGCTTTTAATTCCGTCCAATGTCCCCCTGGCAGTAGAGCTTGGAAGGTCACTGATTTGTGAGCTATTTGAGGACTCTTAGGATTTGGAAATGGAAACAGGAGTAGGAAATAAGTATTTTTTTATTTCCATAAAATTCTCACAAAACAGTAACATCGGAGGAACATTCTTTGACATTAAAAGCAGCCTGCCTTGCGCTCCAGTTCTGAGAGGGTCCACAGGAAAGGGACAGCACTCATAAAGAGTAGGCAAATGCACTTTCATCCCTCTGTGAGCATCTAGAGAACGAATAGGTCTGCATTTCTTTTATCAGAGGTTTACAATGCCAAAGGGACAAGGCAGACAGACAAAAACATACACTGTGAGATGTTTGACTAAAGGCTCAATGTTTGTAAATGTTTGGAATTTCTCTTTGTGTATTTAATGGTCTTGAGAAAAGCTTGTCTTTCTGGCGGGGTTTTGCTCCCCTTATGCATGCGGAAGATCCACTATTGAAGCACGTAGAGCAAGGTTCCAGCTTACCAACCAGCAGCTCTTTTCCTGCAAACTTTCAAATGGTAGAAGACGGAAAAAAAAAAAAACCTGATAACATCCCAGATGCTTAAGATATCTCACAGAAGTTCAAAATCATGCTTCTTTTTTGATGAAAATTAGCATTTCTACATCATTTACAAAACAGAGATACAGTAAAAATTAACAAGTCAGATTTGCTTATTCACCATGAATAGATATTCATTCCTTCAATAAGTGTGAGTGTTTCTGAAATTGGCGCTAAGGTCCCAAGATCCCAAAGTTGTTCAAATCCCTTATGTGAATATTGCATAACCTATTTACAAACACACACACACACAATTCTTGACTCAAATCATGTCTAGATGACATATAACACCTAGACAGATAGAAACACTATGTAGAAAGTTGCCATAGAGTATTGGGAATCCTGGCAAGAAGAAGGTGAGTCTGTACGTATTCAGGACAGATAGAATTGTCATAGGCCTAACCACTTGGCATGTAACCTATGATTGACTGCATATACTGATAAAGAAATCACAATACAAAGGTTTGACCGTATTAAAGGAACTGTTTCTATATGCCATGCACTGTCTAAAATGTTTAGTATATAGTAATAAATCAAAGAGATAAAAATCTTTTGAAAGCATCACCAAGTAAAATTATGAAGAAAATAGGGAAGAGCTATAGCACAGTTAGTAAAAAGGGATTTTTCTGTGCCTTCCACTTAGGTGGTCATTGCATAATTTCTTCATTTCACAAGTTTTGCCTTCCTACTTCATGGCAAGAATTGTCCATAACCACGGGCTTATCAACTGAAGTTAGAACCATTTTTTTTTTGGGCTCCCAATAGTATAAAAAAAGACCAAGGATGTTTTTCTAAGAAATCAAGAATCATGACCATGTGGATAAATCAAGCAGGTGCTTGTGTGAAAGCCTCATCCCTACTGGCGAGCTGTCACAGTGTTGGAAGGCATTATGTACACTACCAGAGGGGGAATAATCATCAGCCATACCCATCTGTGCTCTTTCAAAAACTATGCTAATGCCCAGCATGGAAAAACATACGGTGGCATGAATGTCATGGGAGTAACCAACCACCTTCTGATTGTATTCAATGCTAGTTCCACAAGTTAACAGCCACTCCTGGCACAATTTTTAGGGCAAGGAACCTATGGCTAGATACATCATTGGCCTTAGCAGAGTGTCTATTACTATTACTCTGCTAAATGAGACAGTAGGAAGCTGATCTTTATACCCATAGACGGGTGCATTTCTCAGCCTTCACCAAAGCAGCTTCTTCCTGCAATAGATGATGATTGACACAGAGAGCCACCCTCAGTCAGGGTGCAGGGAACAAAAGACTGGACGCTCAACTGCAAATGGGACATCTAGTTCACACGCACTCTTCTCAAGGATCAGGGATCATTACAGAAAAGGGAACAGAAAGATTTGAAGAGCCATTTGTGGTAGGTAACACAGGGAAGGTGTGTCTTCTGGAACAGGAAGGGTGTTGCACATATGGGTTCATAGCAGCCGTTGACAGCATGCATGATCTGTGTAAGCTCCAGCAAAGCAAATTCTCACTGAGGATGGAGGGGGTGTTCACAGAGCCCCACCCCTAGCTGAAGAGCTGTTGGCAATTGACAACCATTGAGAGAGGAAGAGTCAGTTTTCTAAGTATATCTACCTAATAGATCAACCATGACAGAGAGGAAGGCCACATACACAAGAATATATAGGCAGGACAATTTGGAGTACATGGGTTAAACAAAACATGTTGAGTGGGAGGGAAATGGGTAGATCTAGAAGGAGTTGGGTAAGGGGGTGAATACGATGAAAATATGTTGTATGAAATTCTTAAGGAACTAACTTTAAAAGATATGCACAACAGAAGCGGGAGCTATTCCCTTCACAAGAGCAAAGAAGAGCAAGGGGAAATGACAGAAGACTAGGGACAACCTTCAAAAGCATGAGCCCAGTGATCTAATTCCTCCAACAAGGTCCCACCTTGCAAAATTTCAAGAACTTCTTGAAATACTGCCACCATCTTGATGTGGGAGGCCCTTCTGTATACGTGTTGCTTTTATTTGTTAATGAATAAAGTTGATTTGGCCTATAGCAGGGCAGAAAATAGTCATGATGGAAGGGATATATATATAGAGAGAGAGAAGGCAGAGTCAAGGAGACACCATGTAGCTGCCGTAGGAGCCAGATGCTGGAACCTTACTGGGTAAGCCACAGCCTCGTGGCAATACACAGAATAATAGAAATGGTCTAACTTAAGATGTAATAGTTACTTAATAAAAAGCTTGAACTAATAGGTCAAACAGTGTTGTAATTAATATAGTTTCTGTGTGATTATTTGGGTCTGGGCAGCCAGCCAGAAAACATGTGAGTAGTCTCCGTTTACACCTCCCGGGAAATAAGTACTCAACACATGAGCCTGTGGGGGACATTTCATATCCAAACTGTAACGTTTATGTGACAGTCAACTTTAAGTGAGTCTCCTATGTATTGTCTCTTCTCTTCTCTTCTCTTCTCTGATGGTCAAACATGAATGACAGACACACCATGCCATAGCTGATTGTCTCGTTGCTACTTGCAGGCATATACTGTCTAATTTATCACTTTAAGAATGTAGTTACCAAAAAAATAATAAAATAAAAAAGAATGTAGTTACCAAACAGCAACTGAGCAGTTTTATGGGAAAGGAATATTTTTATGAAAATCTATTTCATATATTCTCATTCCCATTGTTCCTTTGTGTAGTTATATATATGTGTACTTACCTATCAGATAGTCTCCATAGAAAATGTTTCTGGTTCTAGTTTGTTTCTGCATTTAGATTACAAGAACTATGCAACAGTTGTAGAGGAAAATAAAGAGCTGTAATAAAATACTTCACCCTTGGGGAAAAATACTAGACGAGTAAATGTAGAGAGGAAAGGAGAAAGGGAAGTGAGCCAGGAAGAAGGAATCGGGGGAAAGAAAAATACAAAGGAAAAGGAAATAGGAGGTAAGGTTTATTTGTTTTATGTAGAATTGTCAGCTACAAGCTACAGAAATAAAATCTGTAAAAAATTTTAAATAAAAGTGACCCCCCCGTGCAAAAACTAAAAGACCTTGGCATTGATAGGAGCCTCATGATTAAGCTGATTTTGCCTCAAGGCTGAATGCTGTTGCTCCACTAACTGTGTCTATGGCCCTGCCTTTAACTTGACCAACCAGTACAACCCAAAAGCCAAGGTTCACAGAGATCTAGAGAACTGAGCAGAGAGCACATGGTTCCCCAGGTGACCACCAGGTGGCACTGACACACCACCTTACTCCTATGAAGGGGGCAGGGGGTTGAGTTGGGGGATAAAACAGGTGCAAATTCCAAAGAGCCAGTAGAATTGCTCAGGGCAGTAAGTTATATTTTATTTGGATGGCTGCAAAGCAAAAAGTAAGCAAGCATCTATTTAAAGGCGATTCAAGTGTTCCTCTGTTTCCTTCACAAGCCCCTTGCCAGAACAAGGATGCTTCAAGCTCAAACGAAAATTCAGCCTTTCTGCTGTTTACATAAATAATACAGATTTTACAAATATTTGTCATCAGAGATTAACCAATGGTGTACTAAATAATATCTCAGAATACCAGACAATCTCACAGGAGCGCCTGCCCACACATGTTAGCACATTTAACTAACATATTTCAGGAGTGGGAGCCAGAACATAGTTAGAATGCCCTCAGTGTGCTGTTGTGGAATAATCTTTTTGTACACTGTGAGTGTGTGCCATTCGTGTTAGTTTAAAAAAAGCTGAGCACCCAATAGCTAGGCAGGATTTGTGGGGTAGAAAGGATGCTGGGGGGAAGCAGAAGGGGAGACACCAGAGGACACAAAACAAGCAGCATAGTCATTACAAAGTAAAGGTAACCACACCACATTAAAGAACATAGATTTTCAAAAGGGGGGGATATTAATCTAAGTTATAAGAGCTGGTTAGAAACAAGCCTAAGCTATTGGCCAAGCTTTCATAATACATCTTTGTGTTATGATTTGGGAGCTGGCTAATGGAACAGAGAAAGACTAGCTACAGTGTACAAATTATGTTCCAT